CAGCGTTTTTGCCTGAAATGCTTGCTGGAAGAGGAGGGATGTTGGAGATGCACTGGAGATACTGGGGAGAGACCTCCAGGCTGATGCCGGCAATTCATGCCAGCAGAGATGCGGGAAGACAGCGAATAGCAGCCGGGAAGAAGGGGGCCTTGTGATCTGTTCCCTCAAAGAGGGGTCATCACAGGCTGGACTTCCCTCATCCAAAGGTCACAACTCATGTCATGCATCCCTCTCCACCCAGGCTCTGTCTCTGTCTGTCATCCCCCTTTCCCTCCCCTCTCTTCTACCCTGTTTTAGAAATCACTCCCCCTAATCTTTGGGGCCTGGGTGAGACAATGCCAGCACACCCACATTTAATTTCCTGATCGAGGAATGGCCTTTCCTGTGTCATCTCTGTGTACTGTACCACCACCTTGTAGTCCCTTGTTGAACCCTCCCATGGTTACCCTGTCTGACTGGGCCCTTTTTTTTCTTGACAGAATCCTGAGACAGAGCCACTATGGTTTGACTGTGTCCCCTAACAGTTCATCTGTTAGAAATATAACCCCCAAATTCAGATGTCAGTGGTGTTTAGACGTTTGGAGGTAGAGCCTTTGGTAGGGAAGTACAGTCATCAAGAGGGACTCCCGTGATGGCATTGATGACTTTTTGCAAAGAAGGGACCTGAGCTACCAGGCTCGCTCCATCTCTCCATGTGGCGTTCTCCACGAGAACACAGAGGAACACAAGACCCTCACCAAGGACCAGAGCCCTCCTTGGGGCTTCCCAGCCTTACAGAGTCATGAGCTAGATAAGCCTCGGCTTTTATAAATTATCCAGATGATAACGCTATGTTACAGCAACAGAAAACAGGCTAAGCTTTATATAGATTCACAGAAGCCACACTTTCGTACCTTGTTCCGGATCAGCTTTATATAGCCACAAATCAATTATCCAGGTATAGTCCGTGGACACTCATACACATAAAACCAAAAAGGTATTTTTAAAATGTATGTATCTTTAAGGTTTAGTTTATTTTTAATTATGTGTGTGTGTCTGTGTGTCTGTGTCTGTGTGTGTGTCTATGTGTGTCTGTGTCTGTGTCTGTGTGTGTCTGTGTGTGTGTGTCTGTGTGTTTGTCTGTGTCTGTGTCTGTGTCTCTGCATGTGTGCCAGTGTGTGTGTCTGTGTGTTTGTGTGTGATGTGTGTATGTCTATGTCTATGTGTGTCTGTGTGTCTGTGTCTGTGCGTGTGTCTCTGCATGTGTGTCTGTTTGTGTGTCTGTGTGTCTATGTGTGTGTCTGTGTGTTGGTGTGTGTGTCTGTGTGTGTGTCTGTGTGGTATGAGTGTGTGTCTGTGTGTGGTGTGTGTATGTGTATGTCTGTGTCTGTGTGTGTGTGTCTGTGTGTGGTGTGTGTATGTGTGTGTCTGTGTGTTGGTGTGTGTGTCTGTGTTTGTGTGTGTGGTATGAGTGTGTGTCTGTGTGTGGTGTGTGTATGTGTGTGTCTGTGTCTGTGTGTGTGTGTGTCTGTGTGTGGTGTGTGTATGTGTATGTCTGTGTGTTTCTGTGTCTCTGTGTGTCTGTCTTTGTGTGTCTGTCTGTTTGTGTAGGAGTGTGTGTGTGTGTGTGTGTGTGTGTGTGTGTGTGCTGGAGACAGGATTTTGCTATATAGCTAAGTAGCCCTGGTTGGCCTCAAACGTGCAGTAATCCTCCTGCCTCCACCTCCCAAGTAGTGAGATTACAGGCCTGTGCCACCACATCTGGTATCAAAATATTTTCTCCCAAGGCTTTTCACAGTGTGTTTTCATTTCTATGAAAATTGTAGATTGCTAGAGAAAATTAAGTATTTTCTGCGATAAAGTAAGAGTTTATCATTTGGCTGGCATTTGAGCGCAGATTTTGGTATAGATTTGCATAGTCATCTTGAAGTGACTAGGCACCACATTCTGCAGACTGCAGCTTGAATAAAGCACCCATACTTTCTACAGCTTCTAGACCCTTCTCTAGAACTGCTGGCTTCAAAAAAGTCTTGTATTTCCCTCTCTTCTTTCAGCCTGTGTTTATCGAGCATCTCCTCCACAGGAGGAGCCATAACAGGCGCAGTGGATGCCAAGATGACAGAGGTGAGCTCTAAAAGCAGTAATGTGGGCCTGGAGAGATGGCTCATCGGTCAAGAGCACTGGCTGCTCTTGCAGAGGACTCAGGTTTGAGTCCTAGCATCCACGGTTGCTACCAACTGTCCATAATTCCAGTTTCAGGGGACTCTGACACCCTCTTCTGACCTCCACAGGCATTGTGCGACACAGGTACACTGACATATATGCAGGCAATACACTAATACACACAAATTAAAAATAATAAATAAAATACTTTAAGTAGTACTGTGTAACAATAGCAGGCCCGACTCACCCTTCAGGCCCCTTGTCTGCCCTGAAGCCTCCCCTTCTGCACTCCATTCTCTTCCCTTTATAAAAAAAATTTATTCTTTGAGAGTTTCATACAATGCATTTTGACCACATTCCCAATCCCCGCCTCTGAGATCCATCTCCACCTCCCTACACATCCACCTTCGTGGGATTATTTTTACCCCCATTGAGTCTAATTTGTGCCTAATACTCTTGAGTGTGGAACCAGCCCTGGAGAGTGGTCAACCTACCAGGGGCCACCCCAGTAAGGAAAGCTGACCCTTCCTCACCCCGCAGCTGTCATAGTTATAGTTATAGTGGGACTTCATGCCCACTTCCTCCTCCGTGCTGCGGTTTTGTCTAGCTGGAACTTGAATGGGTTTTGTGCATGCTGTCACAATTGCTGTGAGTTCATGTGTGCCACTGTCCTGCTGTCTGGAAAAGTTTCCTTATAGTCACCCACCACCTCTGGCCCTTGTAATCTTTTCCTCCCGTCTTCCACTATGATCCGTGAACCTTGGAAGGAGAGGTGTGATACAGATGTCCCATTTAGGGCTGCACTCTGCAGTCTCTAATTTTCTTCACATGACCAGTTGTGGGTACCTGTGACAATTGCCTTTTCATGCAAGAAGAAGCTTTTCTGATGAGAGTTGAGAGACGCAGCAATCTAGGGGTATAGTAATAACTCCTTGGGAGTCATTTTAATACTATGCCTATTTAGTAGCAGATTCTCCCCTAGGGCTCATGACCTATCTAGCCCCAGGTTCTTGGCCCTGATAATAGCACCAGGTATGAGTTCCATCTTGTGCGATGAGCCCTAATCCCAATCAGATGGTGTTTTGATGACACCGAATGCAGGTGTGACAGTGGAGAAAGGGGAACACTTGTTTACTGCTGGTCGGAGCGAAAACTTGTGCAGCCACTAAGGAAATCAGTGTGGTGCTTCCTCAGAAAGCTAGAAACACATCTACCACAAGATCCAGCTATACCACCCTTGGGCATAGACCCAAAGAACTCCACATCCTACCACAAGGATACCTATTCATCCATGTTTGCTGCTGCTCTATTCATAATACCCAGGAAATGAAAGCAGCCTAGATGCCCATCAACTGAAGAATGGATAAGAAAAATGTGGTATGTTTGCACAATGGAGTATTATTCATTTTTAATAAAAATGAAATTATGAAAATTGTAGTAAATGGATAGAGCTGGAAACAGGTCATCCCGAGGGAGGTAACCCAGATGCAGAAAGACACACATTGCATGTTTTCTCTCACATGTGAATGTTAGCTTTGAGTCTTTAGGTATGTGTATTTTCATTTGGAAAATCCCTAGAGGGTAGGAGTGGAGGGGATATTTCAAGGGAGGGGAGAGATACATTTTTTTCTTGTGGAAGAGATGTTCCTACTCCTTTGGGGTGTAACCCACTGCTGAGGGGCCTGACTAAGGTAGCAGCTATTCCCTTGTTACCATCAGTTATCTCCCTTTTCATTAGAGCCTTCCTGTTCCTACAAACTAGATTGACCTACGGTAAAAAGAATGCCTTTGCTCTATTAGCAAATTGATTCGTTCATTCATAGTCAATGATGCCATATCGCACTTTCCCTCTAAAACAGGTAGAATTTTATTTGGACCAAAAGATAGTATAAAGGAAAACCAATAGGAGAAGCATTTCTTGGGTAAAATGAGTAGAAAGTAGTTAACAGTTGAGTTGGGGTAGACTGGTATTTTTTTATTTTATTTCATTTGTATGAGTATATTGCCTACACGCATGTAACTACACCTAATGTCATGCAATGCCCATGGAGGTCAGAAGAGTGCATCAGATCCCTTGGAACTGGACTTACGGATGGCTGTTAGCAGCTATGTAGGTGCTGGAAACTGAACCCAGATCCTCTGCAGGAGTAGCCAGTACTCTTAACTGCTGAGTCATTTCTCCAGCCCCGATTCTGGTATTTTTTGAGTCAGAGTCTCATGCATCCCAGGCTAGCCTTGACCTTCTGATCTGTCTTTTCCTTCCTCTCCCATGCTGGAATTATCAATGTGCGTCACTGTACCAGGTTTATGTATGCTGGGGACCCAACCCAGGGCTTCCTGCAGTGTAGGCAAGCACTCCACCAACTGAGCTATATCCCCAGTACCCCAAATACAGTCTCTAGGTTAGGATTCCTGGGATTAGGACGAGGCTTCCCAAAGCAGTGTACCTGCTCCATAAGAAAAGAGGTGACAGGGGCCAAGGCCTGGAATCAAACTCAGAAGAGTGCAACTGATAAGGCAGAGTTTGTGTCTGTACACAGAGAGACCTGAGAATAGCAATAAAACAGAGAGGCCTGGGTCGGTCCAGAAGATGTTGGAGGTGCTGTGGGATATCCGACGTGTCAAGAAGAAAACTGCACGGGCTCATCCTAGAGCAAACTCCAGTCACTGAAGAACTCAGCACGGTGGGTGGGCCTCACACCAGCTCAGGCCAGCTAGGGAGGGGAAGCTGCTAAAGGCCAGAACAGCTTTGGTGGGGTCGTGTGACCTCCATGTTCACAGACACATTCTCTTCCAGGTCACACCGGGTAGTTATTCCCAGAAAGTCTTTCCTAAAGTTCTCTGTTTCCATCAATAAATTCAATTTGATAAATATTTATTTGGCAATTTTGGGATCCCTGTAAGAGTTCCTGGGGACACAGAGCACAGTGACAGTGTATCAGGGGCAGAGGGATGTGGCCCAGCCTCGTCCCCTGAGAGCAGTGGGAACAGCCAGCTCAGAACTTCTCAGGCAGGCCCTGGGGTCTGAAGTGATTGGGGTGTTTGCCACTTCGGCCCCATTCCTCGGCCTTCCGGGTGGATTCCATGCTTTCCGATCCATGGTTGCTGATTCCAAAATAGTACTGGTTTAGGAGGCCCTGAAAATATTTCCTGGCAGTGCTGAAATCCAAGGAAGGGAGACAAGATGAATCCTACTCTTGAGATAGCCTCACCTCCTGACTCCCTCCCCCTCCCACCAAGAAAAGACCCAGAGAACACCAGAAGAATAAACCTTGAGGCACAGAGAAAAGAGAGTACCAGTTGTCTTAGGCAAAGGCCTCAGTCAGTTGCCTCTTTCTGGACCCTGTGCTTTGGAAACACCCATCTTGGTTTTCGTTTTTGTTTTGAGTGAGAGAAGAAATGCATTCTTACCACCCCTCAGGCTCTGCGGGGTTCCCTAGACCCTAGGAACATAAGCAGCAAGAGAGGCTACAGGCAGGAGATGCAGAGTAGCTTCTGGAATATTACCTGATGATTTTAGCAGCCCAGATGCCTCCGGAACCCCTTTGTGCAGCCTCGTAGTTCCCCCGAGCATAGAAGTATCTGTCTGAATTTTGGTAGTTGGCTTCTCGCATGTCCCAGTAGGCTCTCCACAAGTCTCCAGCTCCTAGAAAGGAAGGAAAATTACAAAACTGAACCTGGTGATTGACTGAAGAAGTGGGGAATGAAAACTCTCTGTGGATTTCCACAGGGGTCATCCTTTGAGGAGAAGCATGGAGATGAATAGTCTCTGGTGACCCTAAGGGAGGTGCTTCTCCATGAATTGGATTGGGTTGTGTCGGATTGGTTGGCAGCTATGGTGCCCTGGGCTGTGTCTTATATGGACCTGTGTGTGTGCTGTGTACAGAGAAGACATGAGACTATTGTGTAAGGGAGCTGACAAGGGAGAATGTAAGATCTCGGGACTGCGTGTACAGTGAGAGGAAATGGAGTTCACACACCTATCACAACTGATCGAATGTGTGAAGAGCCATGAGCCTAATTAGGAAAGCAATATAACCATAAATCCCTTAAAGTGGCTAACTGGCTCTAAATTGACAGGCTGGCCTTGCCCAAGCCTTATCAGCTGGTCACTTCCTGGACTGAGGGAGGCTGTTTATGGAGTCAGCCTGTCTACTTAACTGCCCTAAGATAGCTCGCCTGCCTGAGAAAACATCTTGGGAGAGAGATCCTCAAGGACACTAGACCCTGGCACTGAGCAAATTCCCGCAGCGGTGTTAAACAGAGTTCCTATGTAAGTTCAACTGCCCCTCCCTTCGAGGCAGACGCCTGTCTTCTGAAGACAGCTCCTGTGCTTTGCTGTGTTCTCTGAATAAGGAGGACACGTTCCTTGCCTGTGGCAGGCCTGGCTCTGACTCTTGTTTCTAAACTCTAAACTTTTTCTGCTCCCCTAAATCTAACAACGACCACTTAGAAAAACACAACCAAGCATGGGTAATTCTGACTTGAGGCTCAAGAAACCCTCTGGGGTATGCAGTGTGTGTCACGCAGCACTGCTAGAGAGCACCAAATTTCATGGGGGGGTCAGACTTTCTGTAGGGCTCAAGTGTCCATGTGTAGCTTTGCCCTGTGTGTTCACTACTGCTCTCATGATGGCAAAATACCTGACAAGCAACTTAAGAAAGGAAGGGTTTATTTTGGCTACAGTTGAAGGGGAAGACATGGCAGTGCGGGTGTGAGAAGGCTGGTCCCATTTGTGTGTGTGTGTGTGTGTGTGAGAAGGCTGGTCACATTGTGTGCGTGTGTGTGTGTGTGTGTGTGTGAGAGAGCTGGTTACAGTGTGTGTGTGTGTGTGTGTGTGTGTGTGTGTATGAGAAGGCTGGTCACATTGTGTGTGTGTGTGTGTGTATGTGTGTGTGTGTGTGTGTGTGAGAAGGCTGGTCACATCGTGTGTGTGGGTCTGTGTCTGTGTGTGTGAGAAGGCTGGTCACATTGTGTGCGTGTGTGTGTGTGTGTGTGTGTGAGAGAGCTGGTTACAGTGTGTGTGTGTGTGTGTGTGTGTGTGTGTGTATGAGAAGGCTGGTCACATTGTGTGTGTGTGTGTGTGTATGTGTGTGTGTGTGTGTGTGTGAGAAGGCTGGTCACATCGTGTGTGTGGGTCTGTGTCTGTGTGTGTGAGAAGGCTGGTCACATTGTGTGTGTGTGTGTGTGTGTGTGTGTGTGTGTATGAGAAGGCTGGTCACATTGTGTGTGTGTGTGTCTGTGTCTGTGTATGTGTATGTGAGAAGGCTGGTTGCATTGTGTGTGTGTGTGTGTGTGTGTGAGAGGGGTGGTCACAGTGTGTGTGTGTGTGTGTGTGTGTGTGTGTGTGAGAAGGCTGGTCACATCGTGTGTGTGTGTCTGTGTCTGTGTGTGTGAGAAGGCTGGTCACATTGTGTGTGTGTGTGTGTGTGTGTGTGTGTGTATGAGAAAGCTGGTCATATTGTGTGTGTGTGTGTCTGTGTCTGTGTGTGTGAGAAGGCTGGTTGCATTGTGTGTGTGTGTGTGTCTGTGTGTCTGTGTGTCTGTGTGTCTGTGTGTGTGAGAAGGCTGGTCACATTGTGAGTGGGAGCGTGAGGTGTCTGTAGTCAGGACGCAGAACGAGATGAGTGTGGCGTTTCACTGGCTCTCTCCTTCCCCCTTCAGTCTAGGACCCCAGCCCGTGGAAATGTGCCACATATATTCACAGGGTGGGTCTTCTTTCCTCATCTAGGCCTCTCTGAAACACCCTCACAGTCACACCCAGAACTGTGTCTCCAGTCAAGTTCATGCCAGATGAGCTTCAGCTCTGGTCACCTTGATTTGGGAGGTCACACCTACCTCTTCTACGAAGAAGATAAAGTGTGGTGCACGCAGAGCCCAGTGTTGTACTGGACCTTCCTTTTCCCATTACCCAAGGGTGTTGGTGACAAAGGGATGCCATTATGCACCCAGCATGGTGACAAGGCATTTCCTCTAAAGTCAGAATGCGACAGGACTGCCCACTGCCCCCTCTTACTGGAGATCGACTCAGACAGTGGTGCCCAGTTGTTGGGATTCTCATAATGGCCGAGAGAACTTGAAGGTAGTAGTAGAACTTTGGAAAACTGCTCGACCCATTGACCCAGGCTCAACCTACATATACCTAAGGATCCTGCTCCTGGGTATATAATCCCAGCAGAAATGAGAGCTTATATTCACCAAAGAGCATGAACATAGTGTTCATTTAGATTTACCCATGATAGCACCAAATTGAAAGTTTCTAATTATCTGATAGAGAGCAGATGCATCAACGGAGGTATATTTATGCTGTGTAGTACTATCTATGAATGCAAGGAGCAAGACACCAACACACAAGACAACATGAATGCATCTTCTGATTATAGTGTTGAGTGGAAGAGAACTAGCTACAGCCAGGCCTGTGGTGCATGCTCGTAATGTCCACTACTCAAGAGACCGAGGTGGGAGGTTCCAAAGTTCAAGTCTAATATAGTGAGACCCTGCCTCAAAATAAAAAAAATAGAAAAATAGTCTTGGAACACATCTCTGCTGTAGAACACTTGCCTACCACATACCAAGCCCTAGATTTAATCCCTAGAACCACAAAAGAAAGAAAATAAGGAAAGAAGACACATGCAACACACACGCGTGCGTGCGCACACACATATCACACAAGCATACAGACTAAAAGGCAAAAGCAATCTACAGTGATAGCAGTAAGGATGAGGTTTACTTTTGGTGGGAGCTACTAACTGGATGAGGAGAGTGTAAGAAATTCTTCTGGGGGACCCCACATGTTCCACGTCTTGAAGTGATCGTGGTAATATGGGTGCTTACATATACAAGTTCATCAAACTATAGTTTACACAACTGGGATACCCTTGTCAAAGATTTCGAAAGAAAAATAGTGAAAAATCAGGTCTGGGAGCTAGAGAGATGGCTCATTAGTTAAGAGCACTGGCTGCTCTTGCAGAAGACCCAGGTTTGGTTCCCAGCGCTCACATGACAGCTAACAACCTTCCATAACTTCAGTTCCAGAGGATTCGATGCCTTCTTCTGGCCTCTGCGGGCCTTGCACAACCACAGGTACACTTAGGCACATGCAGGCAAAACACTCATAAAATAAAAATAAATCAAAGAAATTTAAAACAGGTCTAAGGCAGGAAGAGCTATAGAAACTGCCCGAGCTGTTCAGCCATCAAAACTTTTGACTCCAGCTGTGGGCTGCATATCAAGGACCTTCCTTAAACCAAAGGGCAAGGGACGCTATGATGGAGTTTCACCTACTCCATGCCGTCTCTCTGCTTCTGTGCATTGGTTACTTTGTGTCTGTGGTTCTGTCCGTTGGTCTGTAGCATGGCGTAGTAACTTTTTTCTCTAAATCTTGTTAAAAATCCACTTAATGTTTCCATACTGCCCAGCAAGAGTTTTCTTCAAACACCTGACAGATTCATCAGGTGAGCGCAAAACCTGATGACGTCTTCCTGGGTGATGTTATGTTTAACATAACCCGAGAGGCTGGTTGAAAGTGATTCCTGCTCCTACTTTACCTCTAAGAATCTGACTCAGAAGCTGGTAAGACGAGGCTCCAGAATGGACATTTAAAACACTCAGCAAATTTAAACACCTGTGCACCCCACAACACAGTCTGAAATATACCCATCTAAGGACCTAAGAGACTGGTTTTGGCTTTGGGTTTTTTGTTTCATGTTAGGGTTTTTTTTTTTTTTTTTTTGGTCTTTTTGAGACAGGGTTTTCCTGTAGCCCCAGCTGTCCTGGAACTCACTATGTAGACCAGGCTGGCCTTGAATTCACAGAGATCTGCCTGCCTCTGCCTCCCAAGTGCTGGGATTAAAGGCGTGCACCACCATTCCCCGGTTGTTTTTGTTTTAAGATAAAGTGTCATTATGTAGACCAGGCTGGCCTCAAGCTTACAGTGACTCCCTTCCTCTGCCTCTTTAGTGTTATGATTACAGTCATGCCCCACCATCCCCAGTGATATTCTTTACCATAGAGAGAAAAACTTAGCAGTTACCGCCAAAAAAATCATGGAAAAACAGCATCTGTGGACTGGAGTGCTGAGCATGGTGGCACATGCCTGCAATCCCAGCGGCAGAGGTAAGAGGTCAGTGACTTCAAAGCTAAACCTGGGCTGCATACCAAGACGCTATCCAAATAAATAAGGCAAACACACGGGCACGACAGATGTAGCTCAGCCATAAAGTAGTTACACAGCACGTGCAAGGCCCTTGGTTCACTCTTCAGGACCACAGTGGGGGGAGCATGTGAAGTTCAAAATGAAAAAAAAATTGGAATTTGTAAACTTTCTCTTGAAAAATCTATTCAAAGCCATGTGATGGTCCATGCTGATGACCCCAGCACTCAGGAGGCTGATGCAGGAAGGTTCCTGCAGGTTTGAGGCCAGCTTGGGCTACATAATGAGTTCCAGGTCGCCTGAGCTATAGAGTAAGGAGCTGCCTCAAACAAAGAAGAGAGTAAAACAAAAGAAAGAAAAATAAATTTTATTAAAGTTCAACTGCAAAATTAATACCAGCACGTCAAGTCAAAGTATTGCAAACCCTGACAAGATAAGTTTTCCTCTTTAATCACTGGCCAATAAGCTTAATTTCCCTTTAGGGAAGACAGATGCTGGTCTCTGGGCCCAATCTCGGCCCTCGGTGGCTAATCAGAGGCAGTTTGCACTCTCTTTTTAAAAAAAGATTTTATTTTTATTTTTATTTTTAATTGTGAGTGTGTGTGTGTGTGTGTGTGTGTCTGCATGCGAAGGCAGTGCTTTTGGAGGCCAGAAGAGGCAGCAGACTCTTGGAGCTGGAGTTGCCTGAAATGGGCATGGGAACCAAATTCCAACCTCCTGCAAGAGTGCTATTAGCAACTAGGCTATCTCTCCAGCCCCTAGCTGCTATATCTATTGCATGACTAGGAGTTATTGCTGAATTTCTACGACCTCTGCATCCCAGTTGTTGGCTTGGGATACAATAGGATTTCTCCATACAATTGCTGCTGTTTCACCTATTTTCTCTCTCTCTCTCTCTCTCTCTCTCTCTCTCTCTCTCTCTCTCTCAGAAGTGCATATTTACTCATCTCATGTTCCTTTAGAGACAAATCCCAAGCTCCCCACCTGCACGCTAAGACTGGGGAATTTGCCATCCGTGAATTCCAGCTGTATGAAGACACTAGCCTTCTGCACACAGCATCAGCAAATTACCCAAATTACCTTTGAACTCTGTCTGAAGAGCCCATGGGAAGGCGTCTCATGAGACCAGTGTAGAAGTGGAAAGATGGAGAGCCACACTTATACCCTGCCTCATTTGTAGCTTCTCTAAGGAGCAGGTATGTGACCTCTGTCAGAGGGAGTCCTGGGAGCAGTTGGATGTGGTCACCATCCTCCAGAGTCCTTACCTTGGACAGCTTCCTTGAAGAACGAATACCAGCCTTCACTGCTGACTCCCATGACCAAAGAGCAGAAGACCATGGCTACGCCAAGCCTCATGGTGCTGCAGGGACAGAAAGCAGTCCAAACAGATGAATGCTTTGAATTGGAAATACTGCCTAGCCCTGCATTTCCACTTCATCTTAGAATCATTACTTTATGGAAAACAGAAATGGGCTTTAGAATGAAGCACAAACTATGACTGTTGACCAGATCCCTGGAAAATGGAAGGTTCAAACTGTTACTGACTTGTGGCCCACTCTGCCTAATACAGCAGACTAAAGTTAATGAGTAAGTATTTCTGAGTTCTGGCTCTACCCAGCCCTGACCCCCTGAAGAAGCAGAAAATCTGGGGATGTAGGTCAGTTGGTAGCATGCTTGCCTAGCATGCATGAGGAGGCCCTGGTTTGAGCCCCAGCACCATACAAAACCAAGTGTAGCATATGCCTGTTATCTCAGTACTCAAGAGGTGCAGGCAGGAGGATCAGAAGTACAAAGTCCACTCCCAGCTACATAATTAGATGGAGGCCAGCCAGGGCTACAGGAGACTTTGTCTCAATAAAGAAATATATAAATAAACAAACAAATGCAGCAAACACATTTTTCCCAATTAGAACTTACCAAATATATAAGAAATGGATCTCAGGAGTAAAACAGGACCAGTTCCTCCCTGGAAGAGAATATCACCTATGGGCCCTTCTCTAGTTGAAGCTTCAGGGGAAGTAGGGCTGCGGGAACCTTCCTGCCATGAATCAGCAGCTGGCCTCTTTCTTAGCTTTGACACTAGTGAGAAGAGCAGCTTTAAATCCAGCAACCTGCCAGGAAACATCCTTCTTGCTCAATTCTTCTTGGTAAATGAAAAACTAGGTCTGGGAATTTAGTCCAGTGGTAGAGCACCTGGCTCGCTGCTTGTATGAGGCCCTGAATTCAATACTTACCACCAGAGAGGAAAAGAAGTGCGTGTTAGGTAACAGTGTTTCCTTATTTATAGTAGTTTGCTCTAGGGGTTGGAAAGATGGCTCAGCAGTTAAGAGCACTGGATGCTCTTGCAGAGAACTCAGGTTCGATTCCCAGCACCCACATCATAGCTAACAACTGTCCATAATTCTAATTCCAGGGGAATCCAACACTCTCTTCTGACCTCCATAGGCATTTCATGACACAGGTGCACTTAGACACATGCAGGCAATACACTCATACACATAAAATAAAAAATAATAAAAATAAAAAGAGACCACCTGAGCATATGGGGAACCAGTCTCCATGTGGGGGTGAGCTTCCCCAAACTGAGCCATGCCCAATCCAATAATTAGGATTATATGAGCCCCCCTCATGTCGCCAGGGGTAGACCTCTCTGCCCTACAGTAGGGTAGGGTCTGAGACCTTAGCAGATGACCAGAGAGCACCTGTATCTGACCTCTGCCTGGTGTAGGGGCTGAGAACTCAGCACACTGCCTAAGAGTGCCTAGATCTGGGCTCCACGTGCTGGTGAGCATCCCCTCAGCTGTACCTCCTAAGTGGGATTGCATGAGGCCCCTCCCACTTCTCCAGGGGCAGACCTCTCTTCCCTACAGTAGGAGCTGAGACCTTAGCAGACTGCCTGATAGTGCCAAAATTAGGCCTCCCCTTAGCGAACTTCTAGATAGGCGGCCTAAACCCTGATGAATGAACTTGCACTGAGGGGCATCTCGGGACACTGACTTTACATAATAGGCCTTAAAACAAATGACAGAATGTATGAACTCTAGTTGGGGATGGGGTTGGAAGGGTGCCAAAGGGGAAGGAGGTGTAAAGATGATTTTGTGTATGAAATACACAAAAATTCAATTTAAAAAAAGTAGTTTGCTCTAAACTACCCGAGTTTTATATTCTGGCAGTTCTCTAACTGCTGCCTGTGGTGGTTTGAATGGAAATGTCCCCCATAGGCTCCAAGTGTTTGAACATATTGTCCCCAGATGATGGAGCTGTTTTGGGAGGTTTTAGAAGGTGTGGCTATCCTGGAGGAAGCACGTCACTGGGGATGGATAGAGAGTTCTTAAGCCTTTCTGGATCTCCAGTTGTTCTCTTACTTCCTGTGTCTGCGTGATGATGTGAGAGCTTAGCGTCTGCTGCTCCTGCTCCAGCCACCTCCAGCCACCATGCCTCCCTGCCATGATGGAGTGTAATTCCCCTGGAACTGTAAGCTCAAGTAAACTCTTCCTTCTATAAATTGCTTCAGTCAGTGTTTCTATCCTAGCAACAGAAAAGTGACTAATAAACTGCCTCTCCACACCCTGTTATCACAGAAAAGAGCTAAATTCACAAAATCAAATGTGAGGGATCAGGGGTCTTCTCTGCTTGATCTCCTTTGCTTCCTGGTTCCCACTCTGCTTGAGAGGAGGTCTTCCCCGGGACTTGTACGTACACATGCCAGAGAAGTGATCATCATGATCAGGAGATGCTTGCCAATCCTTTGTGCTGGCTCCCTAAGGAATATAAGGTCACGGGGCAGGTGAGACTTTGCTCTACTGACCAGCCAAGGATGAGGTAATGATTCTGGGAGAAAAGGAAGGAAAGGAATATAGAGGAAAGGCCAAGGACGAGGGCTTTCTGGGCAATAGAATTGATTAAATAGACGATGGTAGATGGGTAGATGCTCCCTTTTCATCCAAACGCATCCTTCTGTGTGTTTTGAAAACTTAGGGTATCTTGGAAGTCTTTCCAAACCAAGTTTGTTGCTTTCCTTTCTCTTTTTGAAAACACATTATTTTATTGTATGTATTGACAATAATTTGTGCAATATTTTGATGGTTAACAGTATTTTGTTAGTGTAAATAATGCTGCATTTATTAACCTTGTTAGATGTCCCTGACGCAATTATAAACACATATAGACTAAATTCCTACAATAGGAA